AACAAAGCAGTTTCAAAAGATGAAACACTAATAGTTAAGAAGTGTTTAAATGTTCAGTATTCTTAGTCATCAGGTAAATGCAAATCAGAATTACTTTGAGATTTCATCTTACACAGTTAGAATGGCCAAGATACATAAAACAAATGATAGTTCATGCTAATGAGAGTGTGGAGTAAGGGGAACACTAAACCATTGCTTGTGAGAGTACAAAAGTGTACAGCCTCTTTGAAAATCAGTGTCACAGTTCTTCAGGAACATGAGAGGGAGAGAGGAATGGAGAAAGGGGGGCTCATAGGAAAGAATTTACTGAAATACTTTATAGAACTGCCTATTGTATAAATATTAATTCCCATATCAGAATAAAATAAAACACAATTATACTTAGTTCATGTGCCCAATAGTTCTTAAAAACCAATTTAGTGTCTTTGACATGATATCAAACCTTTGAATTACTAAAGATGCCCACTCATTTGCATAAGTCTATATATTTTATATAAAATGCAATTTTATACTTTAGAAAATAATTCAATAAAGTCTTGAGCTAAGTTGGTGTTTAAGTTTAAAGTGAGCTGTTTGATGGTTATTAAAAAAAATCAATACAGTTTTCCTTGAAATTTATTCACTCTGACATTTGCAAAACTTTTACATTTGCCTAAAAACTGTTGTGATCAGTTTTAGATTTTTGACAAAATGCATTTTAGAAACCTAGAAAAAAGTACTTTAGCCAATTTTGAGTTTTTCAGTCCTGAAGAAATGGTATTTCATGCCATTTAGATAATCTATTTAGATTTTTCTCTATGAATTGAAGTACTTCACAAACATTGTAAAACATCAAAATAGTGATAGAGTATGAAAGATTTTCTATGGATAACCCAGTAGACTTCCATGAGAATGTGAACTCCTATTGCCTACTCTGGCGATACTTCATGAAGCTTCACTAAATGACAAAGCTTTGCGCTTGGAAGTTCTCATTCGCAGATTCTGAGTACATTATGAGCTGTTTCTGAACCCACTGCTTCATTCAGAATTTATTTAATACTTTTTTAATTAGAGTACAGTGAAAAATTATCCTGTTTACATATATATGGTATCTTATATTTAATTGAAAGCTTTTATGCATATTTTAAGATAAATATTGAAACTAATCTAATGATAAAGTTTGTAAAGTAATTTTAGCTCTTTCTATGTTTGTCAAATAGTTTTTGTTTTGGAGGGTTTCTTGACAGTCATTAGTAACAACAATTATGAAACCTAAGAAATTATAGCAATACTGGGCTATATTTGCTCTGTCATTCAATTTGAATTCAAGCCGATATGTTTGATTCCCAATACTTCCTGGACTTGTGAATCATTTTTTAAGTTCTTGTAAGTAGCAGTAGCAAGATAATGATTCATATTCATATACAGTAACAAATTAAATGTTGACTCAAAATAAAATCTATATAATGACATCATATTCAGTTGGTTCAGTTTAATGCATAATATCTACTTTCTGTTCTCTTAATTACATGTATGTTTTAAAATTCCTCATTTGTAGACATGTTTTCAATTTGGTGTTCCAGAAATGAAAAGATTATTTGTCAAAATACATGACATATTATACTTCCTATAAATGAGATTTTTAAACCTTTGTCTTGGTTTTCATAGACTAAAAATTAGACTAATAAATCACATCCATTTTCTATAACAGCACGATAAATAGGAGAAAATTGTTTATTTTTGTGTAAATTAAATAAAATTGAAAAATTGGATTGGGATGTGTCTCAGTGGTAGAAGACAAACCAAATGTTCATGAGGCCCTGAGTTTATTTCTCAACATTAATAAAATATAGAGTAAAATAAACACAAACTGGAGAAATGAGAATAAAAGAATGGGAGAGAATTAATCAATAAGTCCAGTTATAATAAACATTGAAAAATGGAGATTACTTTCCATTAAAATATACCATTGAGACTGATAATCAGCTTCATGGGTAATAGGAAGTCAAGAAAAAGCTTGCATGTCTATTTCCTTTAAAAAAAAAATCTCAGTATGACTATTAAACACAATTTAGTGGGAATATGATTCATAGATTTTAAGTCTTGCATGGCATATAGTAGAGTCATAATCTCCATGAGTAGAAAATACTACAAATGCTCATGAGGCCTCAATTCTAGAACTGTAGGCAACGACAAAAAGCTGGAAGCATGTGACCTGGTATTTCCAAAGGAAAAACACATTAATTGGAGTCAGCCTTGAAAACATACATAAAAATAACATTACATGGACTCAACAGGTTATATTTGGAATACATAGGTGTGTGTATTTTCATATACATATATGCATTCAATAGTAACTGATAAAAAATAGGCCATGGATTTGAAGGAGAAAGCAGAGGGTTATATGGGAAGGTTTGGAGGACAAAAATTGAAAGGAGAAACATTGTGATTAAAATATAATATGAAAAATAAAAATAATATAAGAATGGACTATATTTAGCCTCTGGTTTCCAAAGGAGAAATCTGTTCAAAACATGGTGAACAAAGTAGAGTGCCCCGAGCAATTCAATGACCACAGGAAATTCAAAAGAAGTCAGGGAATTGAGCTGTCTAAACCATATCAGTAGTTCTTGGTGGGCATTTATAGGAACTGAGGGGAGAAAGTCTTATTCCAGTGTAGATGGCATTTTTCCAATAGGCAGCCCAGATACAAAGAGGTCCAAGGAAACTTCAGAGCTGCTTGTCGGTGAAAGTTCATCTCCAGATGGTTTTTATGTCTGTCTATGCTTCTCCTGTTGTTGCCACTCCTGCCATATTTCACTGACATCAGATTCCAGGTTCTTCAACCAACATTAACTGAAGAACAGTGACTCTCCAGGAATTTTACCATTATTTAGTACTAGATTGTGATGATTGAGGCATGTAGGTCCATAGGCTGAACAACTAAAGTTGTTCTTAGCCTGTTCACTGGGCAGATGGAGGGAAAGCATGACAATTAATTACTGAAGGTTAAGGGAGAATAGGATGAATAACAGAAGATAGCTATGAATATCAATATATGACCAGTTAAATAAACAAAGATTATAATATCATGAGTGTTTCTGACCTATTTTATAAAGAATATATTATGTATAGAAACATTAAGCAGATACTTGTGGATTTCTCTCCTCTATTTCTTCATCATATATGAAAACAACTATGGAGTATTATAAGTCATACTATATCATCATATTTATTTTACAGGGTACTAAAAGACTAAGATATCCTCAGGAGACTTCCATATGTATTCTAGAGAAAGAATAGTCTACTTTTGGTTATATGTAACATAGTTATACCATGTTGAGTGGAATTACTAACTATTATGCTGTTGTTTTCATTTGAAAATTAAGTATGGCATAAGATGTGACCAAATGCCTCATTGCAAATTACTATAGGGTAGATGATGTTTGATGGTTAATTTTGGATGATGGTGTGCTTGGGTCTGAAATCAACTAAGAAACACATTTGTAGGCAGATCTCAGGGTATTTCCTAGAATAGTTAACTAAGACGAGAAGACTTTCCCCTAGAATGGGCAAGAATGGGCAGCACCTTCCAGCATCAGCCAGAATATAAGGAAGTCTGAGTGAATAGTAGTGTTGATTTTTGCCTGATGTCTATCCCTTGCCAATGAGGACTTCTACACTGTCTGTGGATTGTGATTTGCTTTTTTTTTTATATATTTTTCACTGAACCCATCTTTTTCAGATTTCCAATACAAGTTGAGGAATAGTACCTCTCCAAGCATTGTCCAGGCACTGAGCAAAACAATGAAACTTGAGGGGTATCAGATCTGGTGGGCTGAGCAGCTACCAAGTGCTAGCTTCTTAGTGTATCAACTGCTATTGTTGGACCTCATGCCCATACTGTATAAACCAATCTAGGAACTCCTTTCATAATATACACTTTTCCTATGGATTCTGTATCTCTAGAAAATTCTGGATAATATACCAAGATAATTCAAGATTTCACCACCTGTGGATATCACCTCACCTCACTTTGATTATTCTTTTCTATGACATCATTACTCTGAACAAAACAATCTCTTTATACAACCATTCAAATGAAAAAATCCTGAGTCTTCTCTGTAATTTTCATTTTTCAGAGTGTTCTGACTCATTCTGACTTGGTCCAATAAGCTTAGTATTATCAATATAATGGAGCAGTGTTCTACCTTAAGATAGAGACAGGTGATCAAAATTCTTGTGTAGTAAATTGTAACATGGGCTAGAGACATAATATACCCTTATAGTAGAATACTAAAGTTGTGCTGTGAGCCTTGCCAGCTGAAGGAAAATTGTTTTGATGGGCCTTATATAAAGAGATGGCCAAATAAATAACCATGACAAGATAAATATCTACTTACAGGGTACTAGAAATTGTATTAATTTGTTAAAGGAAAGAAATCATAACTTTCACAGCAGCTATACTTCCTGTCTGGCTACTGGCCAATTAGTGTTTTATATACTAACCAATCAGAGCAACACATTTGCCATACAGAATATCCCACAGCACTTCCCCTTTTCTTTTTTTTCTTAAAGAAAGGTTTTAACTTTTACATTGTAAAATTACAGATAACAAAACAATTATCAAGGAAGAAATACAGTTATAATGCCTAGTCTATTAATATCCCACTTCTGACACCACTGATTGGCCAGTAGCCAGACAGGAAGTATAGGCGGGACTAACAGAGAGGAGAATTGAGGGAAGAGGAAGGCTGGGAGAGACACTGCAGCCGCCACCAGGACAAGGAAGATGTAAGGTACCAGTCAGCCACGAGCCACATGGCAAAGTATAGATTAATAGAAATGGGCTGAATATAAGAGTAAGAGCTAATAAGAGTAAGAGCTAGACAATGATAGGCCTGAGCTAATGGCCAAGCAGTTTAAATAATATAAGCATCTGTGTGTTTATTTTATAAGTGGGCTGTTGGACTACTGGGGCTTGGTGAGACCCAGAGAGAAAACACTCCAGCTACAAATAGCACCCAATGTGGGGCACGAACCCACAACCCTGAGATTAAAAGTCTCATGCTCTATCGACTGAGCTATCTGGGCCATTCCAGCTTTGATCTGGAAGTTCCAAGCCCCACTGAGGCTTCAGTAACTGTCATACCTACAAGGCGGGGCCAAGAGAGGACCCTAAACACCCGAGATCTGGATGTACCGCCTCTCTTGGTTTCTGACCCCTGGACACTGGAGGTAGACCGAGCAGAGTTCTCCAGAGAACACCACCGGACTGCACTACATCTTTCTCAGACCCTGCAACCTAGTTATCCCTTCATTTGTAAGTTATGCCACTAAATAAACCTCCCTTTTAACTACATGGAGTGGCTTTAATAATTTTGCCAATACATGTAGTACAGATATATCTTAATAAAATACATATGTATATCTTAATCATGTCATAGGAGAACCTATTGTATCATTTGAATATACATCATAATCTTATATTCTATGCTGTTTGCATTCTAGAAATCTGACAATCCAATATTTTCAATCAAGATAATCCCCAGAATTAATAGAGACACCCCAGACAATGAGGACAAATTTCCACTCTTTCTTTAAGTGAGGATAAAATATCTTATATTTTTTCAAATCAAGGAAAAATTCAAGTACAAAGCATATGTACTCCAGAGTTTTGGAGGTGTAGAGCAAAGACTCAATCTTTCATCTGGACTAGGGCTTCTTGGAAGAAAGAAACAGCACTGTGATTACATGTCAGAATATCTTAGGTGAGAGGATGATCTGACCACCTCTGATGAGCATAGAGTATCTTATGATTTATTGACTCAATTGTTAAATGCCCAGTGTAATACTAGTAAGTAGGAAAATCTTGAAAGAGAAATAAAGCAAGCAAATCTCAATAAAGATATTAATTATATATTAGAATTATCTTAGGAAGTTTTAGATGATATCTTAATGGTGTTGAAGAGAAGACTCAGTGGTTAAGAGCACTTGCTGTCCTTGTGAAGCCCAAGGCTCAGTTTCCAGCACCCACAAAGTGGCCTAAAATTATTCATATTTCTAGTTCTATGGACTCAAAGTCCTTGTCTGTCCTCCACAAGCACCAGGCATACATGTGGTAGAAACAAATAGAACCTTTAAAAAACAGCTTCAGAAAAAGTAAACATCCGTTTGGCTATTTGTCCCTGTGCTTTATTCAACCTTGGTTTCAACAATTCTCGCTCATATAAACCCTCCTTTTTCTGGCTAATTAGACTCCCAGAGCTCTACCCGGGGCCTAGCCGTGGATCTCTGCATCCAGATCCCTCAGTACAGGGACAAATAGCCAAAGAATGGAAACACATGAACTATGAACCAAAGGCTGAGGGGCCCCCAACTGGATCAGGCCCTCTGAATAGGTGAGACAGTTGATTGGCTTGTTCTGTTTGGGAGGCATCTAGGCAGTGGTACCGGGTCCTGTGCTCATTGCATGACTTGGCTGTTTGAAACCTGGGGCTTATGCAGGGACACTTGGCTCAGTCTGAGAGGAGGAGACTGGACCTGCCTGGACTGAGTCTACCAGGCTGATCTCAGTCCCCAGGGGAGGTTTGCCTTGGAGGAGGTGGGAATGGAGGGTGGGCTGGGGGGAAGGGGAGGGCGGCATGAGGGGGGAGAACAAGGGAACCCGTGGCTGATATGTAGAACTGAATAGTATTGTAAAATAAAATAAAAGGAGAAAAAAAAAAAGAAAAAGTAAACAATACTCTTTTTTAAAGAAATAAAAAATAAAGGATCATAATAAAGAATACAACAAATAACAGCAATGAAAGAACTTCAAAAGACAACTGAAAGATTAATACAGACATTTAAATTACACCAAGCATAAACAGTTGTGGGAAGGCTAACAGAGTGAGCAAAACACATTCAAGTGTCAGTGAGCTTGAGAATAGGCTAAATGAATTTAGTTCAGTGGAGCAAAATGGAAAACAAACCAATATTTGAAATACTAAATAACACCAAACAGCTTAGACACCTGAAAGGCAATCACAATAAAACTAACCTTTCTAAACAGGAGTTCCTCACTAGAGGACAGAAAGGTGGAAACTAAAAACATCCTCAAGGAAATAGTGATTCCCATGCTCGTCCCTTACTGGGGAGCTTCTGGTAGTGGAGAGCTTCTGGGGAAAAAATGATCCTGCTTGGAGGTGTTGCCCTAGTAGGTTTCCCATTTCTCAGTGGAAGACCCCACACCCATGGACACATGGGCAGCATAAACTGGGCTTAGTGTGTTATCAGAAAAAAAGAAGAAGAAGATGTGAAGTTGGGTTGGAGAGATGTGTTGGTGAGCCATAAAAAAGAGTTGCAGGAAAGAAATGGACATGTAATGACCATACATTACTGCAACTATGTATGAGATTCTTAAATAATAAAACAAGCTTAAAAAATTATGCTGGTAGGGAACTCAAACTTTAACCACAGTACTTTGGAGGATTAAGCAGCTTTATGCTATCAGTTGAAAACTACCTGGGATGCACAGGGTATTCAATACCATTTGGGTTCAACTAGTCCAAATGAATGCATATGTTCATACATGCATACATACATACATACATACACACATATTGCATATACACATACATGTAGGAAAAAGTTTCCTGAATGTGGCAAAGAGTTATCTGCCTCTTCAAGAAAATAGGCAAAGTTCAAAAAAGAACATTTTGACAGTAGAAATGGCACACAAGAAAAATAGTTGAAAGGAGAGGCTTATAATGAGAATGCACAAAGATTAAGAAGATTGGAAAAAGATTATACCAAGGTCTGTAAGAAAAAATGTATTCCAAGTGCAAACTCAATAGTCTGTGAGAATAAACAGACAAGAAATACACCCATGTACTAAAGGAAACTGACTGCACTTGGTACCAGTAAATGATTGGTTTAAGAAATAGCTGATGGAATGTCTTTAAGCAGAAAGGAAGTGGTAATAAAGTAAATGAAACTTCAGTAAACAAATAATATCAGGAGGGATAATAAAAGAGGAGATGACAGATTGTTAGTTTTAGTTTGTGGTGTAGTAAAAATAAAATAGCCAATGTGATGTTCAAGTTTTACAGGAAAAATTATTTTTAAAAAGTGAGAAGAGAACATATATTTAAATGAAAATTTTTTCTGTATACCATTTAGGAGTGTAAAACATTGACATAATTATACTATTATTGACTATATAGATCTCTATATCTACATGCAATATATTTATACATTTATAGATAAATGACACAAAAGTATAGATGAAATGAAGTTTTATGAAAGGAAAAGAATAACCAAAGTCACTATTCAAACATGACTAGTACAAGACTTACCTTCTCTACAATCAACCAAACTATAAATAATTTGGAAAATACTCAAATTTGTTTTCCCTTAATTGTCACCTTAAAGCAGTCTAGACTCATTTGAAAGCTCAGCACCCTCTTGACCAGTGCCAGTAGTCCAAAGTGGGTTCATCCTTGTGGATTCCTCTGAGCTCCCCTGGCACCCTGACTCTTCCTATTCCCATGATGCCTTCACTTATCATGGTATCTCTTCCCTTGCTCTCCCACTCTGTCCCTGTTCCAGCTCAACCCTTCCATTTCCTTATGTTCTCATCCCCCATTCTATGCCCTCCATTGCCTCCCCTCCTCCCAGTTTGCTCATGTAGATCACATCTATTTATCCTTTGCTGGACAATCTATATGTCTCTCTTAGGGTTGCTCCTTGTTAGCTAGCTTCTCTGGAGCTGTGGGTTGTAGACTGGTTATCCATTGCCTTACATCTAGTATCCACTTATGAATGAGTATATACTATGTTTGTCCTTCTGAGTCTGGGTTACCTCATTCAGGATGAAATTTTCTAGTTCCATCCATTTGCCTGCAAATTTCATGATATCATTTTTTTAAAACTTCTGAGTAGTACTCTGTTGTACATATGTACCATATTTTCTTTATCCATTTTCAGTTGAGGGGCATCTACGTTATTTCCAGGTTCTGGCTATTATGAATAATGCTGATATGAACATAGTTGAGCATGTGTCCTTGTGGTATGATTGAGCACTCCTTGGGTATACGCCCAAGAGTGGTTTAACTGTATCTTGAGGAAGACCAGTTTTCTCAATTTTCTGAGAAACCGCCATACTGATTTCCAAAGTGGCTGTACAAATTTGCATTCCCACCAACAGTGGAGGAGTGATCCCCTTGCTCCACATCCTCTCCAACATAAGCTGTCTTCAGTGTTTTTTTATCTTAGCCATTCTGACAGGTGTATGATGGTATCTCAGAGTTGTTTTGATTTGCATTTTCCTTATGGCTAAGGATGTTGAGCAGTTCCTTAAATGTCTTTCAGCCATTTGAGATTCTTCTGTTGAGAATTCTCCTCAACTGGGAACTGCATTTTATTCCAGACAGGTAAGGGACAGTTGTGAAGAATTCATGTTACAAGTTCATGAGAAGTTCATATTAGACATGAAATGATATGTTTAATAGTGAAAGAATGGAGACTTCACCCTGTGGTGTCAGGGGCAAAACAAACCTTTACTGCTTGTTTTTAACATTGTACCAGATGTTTCATCCAGGTAGCAGAATAACAAAATAAATAAGAGGAATCTATACTAGAATGAAGGGTAATTTTTTTTCTGCATTTGAAAATGTAAACATCTATCTGGTATACAGAAAATCCTAAGAAATCTAGAAAAACTAGTAGGACTTGAAATTTATTTCAGTAATGACACAAGATATATGTGTAATATCCGGAAATCTCTTGTACACACAATGTACACACTAAAAATAAAATTAAGCAAACAAGACAATATCTGACAAGATGTCTCTTGTAATGCAAATCACATAAAAGAATGGAAGATTGGTTTATAAGACTCACTGAAAGAAACACCAGAGAAACTTTCCTGACTTAAGATTTAAAATGGACTTGTGGATATAGCATCAAAATATAGGCAAGAAAATAAAACCTACAGATTTAAATTTTTAAAGATTAAAATAATCTGTGCTTTGTAAGTGAAAAGTCAGCTCACAAGAAAGAAATCATGGCAAAGTATACTTATATCCCATGTGTCATGATGTAGGAAGAAT